CATGAATCTAAGCATGATTTTAACCGTGATATTTATTGCATAGGTAAACATAGAAAACCCATTTCCAATAATAATTCAGTTATTAAAATCTTCACCAAAATATATAATGAGATCTCATTTCACATATATACTTCTTAATGCAATTCCATCAAAAATGCAAAATCCACATGAAAAATACAAACCCCATTTCGTAGATGCAAAACTTACATAGAAATCGAGACCCCATTTCCCCATTCTACTTGAAATAAAACAAATTACATGATAATATGAAATAGAAATCCATTTTAGATTACAATACAACTCTGGATAAAGAAAAACATGAGCTTAAAATAAATTATGGATAACTATCATTTAGATGATAAAAATCTTAACATTTTAGCGAAAATGCAAACCCACGCATACAAGCTCACTGGATTTGTTTGTATTTGATTTCAACCCCTATAAATTGAGTCTGAGAGGAAGAAAGGAAGAAGTAGGCTTTTATTTTAATGTTAACTAGTGTATTAATTCGGTCATTTAGTCTTTCTCCTACAACGGTCCGTAGCTTAATCACGTAATTGTTCTCATCCATAGACCTGCAACTCTTTTCTTATATTTTAAATTAATCCCTCCAATCAAGAATAGAAGTGACAATTAAAGTAATTATTTAAAAAAGAACTTGTGTGAATTGGGAGACTTAATAGTTAATGATTTAATGCAAATTTCAAAAAAATATAAATATTCAGGGTACCAATAACACTTTCAAATGACTTTAGGGACTAATTTTTCAAAATAAAAGATTTAAGGGACTTATATGAAAAACCCAATGTTTAATACACACACACACACACATATGCATTATAAGCTGAAGCTTGGGAGGGCCATGGCCACCCCCAGTACCCCTAGCTCTACCATTGTTGCTCTACTTTAACCATTTTGATTGACTCAATGAATCACACCATCATCAATTTGACCATCTTAATGAATAGTGGATCACATATAGTTACCTTCCTTCGTGCTATGCTTGTATTCTAGAAGCATTATCCTCTTCCCGGGTGTAAATGTCAATTGTTTATATATGTAGATTCCATTACCATCTTCCCAACAATGAATTTCTTTTTTCATGTTATCAAGTTTGGGGAAAATACATGGATTGTATGCAAGTTCGTGATGGAGTTATAGCTTCTGTGAGGTATTTCAGATCTTTAGCAGGACCCAAAAATGCTTTGGTTGTGTAGTTAGAAGCAAGAAAAATTTAAGGTCTTTTATCAAAAATAATAACTAAGACATGCACATCGCCACATTGTACATTTGTTACTGTAGTATAGCAATAAATAATTTTCTAGGCACACCCTTGTTAGGATTTGTTTTATATGAGGTGTACAAGGACATACTTTTCTCTCACAACTAGACCCCAAATCATGGTATAATTGTTCCGAAGTGATAAAATATGAAACAAGGAAATGCTGCAGTGCAGTCATTGAGCTTGCAAATGAATTACGTACCCACATTCTAGGGCCTTCAGATGACCTTGAACCACTCACGATTGTAATCGATTAAAAGCATTATAAAACACTATTAATATGTTGGGTTTTACTTGTGAATCTAAGATAGGGAACACATTTAAGAAAATAAGTACTGATTCCTGGATATTGAAGGAAAGAAAGCTGCATTTGGTTTGAGTTTAGCTTATTTCATTCTTAGCTTGCTCCTGCATTCTTCATGGTTTTTTTTGCTTTTCTTAGCTCCTTACTTTTCATTCTAAACTGAAAGAAATGACCTGGTACTTTGGTCATGCTGCATTGTATGATTGTATCCATGAGCTTTTATTGTTTTTGAGTTGGAGGGAGACAAATTATATGAAATTTACACGACTAGAGAGCTCGTGAGTACAATTTAAGCTCATGGGTTCAATACCTGATTCATAAGTAGAGAGCTTCTCTCTTTTCCTTCAGTAATCAGGGCTAAAAACTCCGAAAATTACCAATGTTTGTATAGAAACAGCACTTGATATTATTAGAATGCCCAGAAATTAATTGCTCAAGTCTCGAGTAAATACAAAGGCATATTCAAAGAAATTCTGACCCTCTGTCAGTGAGAATTAAGCAACAAGCATAAGGCTTTTTGTATCCTTCTCATGTAGTAGCTTGTGGTGTGTAGTAGTCACTGCTCAGTTAATTTTCATGGCATTATTATCATTTGTTGCAACCTACTTACCTTTATTTTTAATTTGACATGTTTTTTGCCTCCCATTTATCTGACAGTCTTCAACTGGGGCCTCTCTTTGACACGCTCATTCAGTGCGATCAGTACCACAAGCCAGTTGCCTCACATAACGGACCCTGATATAGAATCTGCATTCAAGGATTTAATGGCTATGAGTTGGGATGAAATTCCTGACTCTGTGATCAATAATACAAAGAAGGCATTGGCCAAGGCTACCGAAGATAAGGTTGGCCAGGAGGCATTGGCAAATGTTTTTCGTGCAGCTGAAGCTTCAGTGGAGTTTGGTGGTGTTTTAGTATCTCTGAGAATGGCACTTGATGATCTCAGTGGATTAACTGGCGAGGTCTGCCAATTCCTTTATTTTCCATTTTGATATTTCATTTTTATTTATTTAATTTTGCATTTCTTATTTCATCAGACGAAGAATGAATCACTAGATTCCAGGTAAAAATAAAACATACTCCAAATTATATGTACATGAAGATCATACCATCTTAGTTGAACACAACCATATCCATCAAAATCCACTACTCCTATTAAGCAGGAAGAAAAGGTAGCTTGATTTTCATTTTTTGGCTCAGTATCTTTTTAGTAAAGAACATCTAGAATGACTTATCTTTTAAAAGCCATTCAGAAGACGCTTTACTTCAGCAAAAGGAATACCAGACTATTATTAGCACTGGAAGCACAAGAAAACTTAAAGCTACCTCATATTTTTACCCTTTGACCTTTCTCTTTGAGTAGCCAATAGCCTTTGTCCGGAAAAAAGGACTCTATATCTGTTATGAACAAAAATATTTTGAAGCTGAATTTGCCAAATATACCTAGTAAAGTATACTTGGAAGTTGGAGTCGATTTTGTCATTTTCATTCATATACTGTGAAGCAACAAT